GACAACAGATTCTGTTATGATACTTTACCCATAATCCTTTGCTTGAAAATCAAGAGGCTGACTACGTAATACTGATGAAAAGTGGAATATCTAGAGAATGAAAAGTGATACAACAAAACTGTAAATTTCATTCTCCTACATTTGTGAAGCTTTTTCTTTAGGGACCATTATGTTGTTTGGATTGAGGTTCCCTTTAAACCTTCGTGCATATTTTACATTTATAAAATGTTTTCTCTTTTACAATGCATTTTGTCCCAGAGCCGCATTTTTAACTTGTTGTTCCAAAACGGGTTGAGACATATAACGCTTCCTTGTTTGAGTACAGCAGGGAAAGTGGAATTTACTTTTCCATATTCGATATTATACAATAATAGATGGGAGTGTGAATTGAACCAATAATTGAGTTACAATCACTTGTCGGCAAAACAGCGCATTTAGTAATCCCTGGTTGCGTAAAATCATGATGAATGAGATACAGAGACCATTATCAAGTATATACTTTCTCACCGAGCGAAGGTAACACATTCTGGGGTGTAATCTCGGGCTCTGTGAAATGCCTAGCAAAGTGGATTGGTCGGGCATTTTACTTCTATCATTTAAACAAATTGTATTCTGTACACAACTAAAAATTAGCTCTACTTTGAGCTTATCACAAAAGGAAATCGTGAAAAGTTTGCAACTTACAAATTTTGAGTTCACTAAAATATATAATATATCACTGATGTACGTGTAACACTGGATTCCCACTTTGTATGATATACAGACAACCTTTCACTCACCACTGTAAACATCACAAATGAAGCAAAATGGTCTTAAGTGATCACAACAATGGAGATTATGTTTGACTTGGTGAATAGACAACCTTCTGTGTGGGCTAGCTGAATACTTCATTATTTCAGATTTCATAATACAATGTGGGATTGCACTCACCACGCACTTTAAAAGGCCTTTCGTAGATTCACAAAAGTTGCATACAAACAAGACAAGGCGATTTATTGATGCCTTTTTCATTGGGACACGTCTTGTTGCTGAAGTTGTGGAATGCTGTGAAATATTTAACTTTTGATCATGTTAATGGTTATAAATTGTTCTCAAGCGGCATGCCCAAAAGTCCCGGCCTCAGTGTTTACATTATTAGTAACTTGTTCTCTACGGTGGCCGTGACCTACCACGCACAATGGCGGTTAAACGTTGACACGCGTAAAGTAATGGTTGTTTGTTTATTTGTTTGTTCACATATGTTAAATTGGCTATATTTTAACACGCGCCATAACTATAACCCGGTCACGTCATAAAAAACATGAACAAATAGTGTTGTTTCATCGGTGTGACTAAACCATGACCTTGGCTGGAAACAACCGATCGATCGTCAGTCACGTAAACGACACAGGTCATGTGACCAGTAGTAAATTACTTACAGGTCAATCACGTCTCAAGTTTACAGTCTTCTTCCGGATCACGAAAGTATACCTTGAATTGTAACAGTTCACCGTATTACGCGGTACAGTACGGGGATATAACGGTTTACCGATTAATTATACCAGGCCAGGGTTAACAGGGATTCATAATACCTGGGCTGACGTGGTTGAATTCGGAATGAATGGAGGCTGGGTTTGCCACGCTGAGGCGTAAAAATATACAGATATATACTGTCATGATCCCTACTTACCGTGCGCACCATGTGCCCCTAGAAGCACCGCCGAGGCACCAGACAGTGCACCGATGCGAAGGAAAAATCGTCGAGAAGCTGTGTTAACTCTTGTAAACCTCGATATAGTCGCCATTGATATCAGCTTGCCAGTACCACACACCAACAGCTGGTTATTGGGGTCAAGGGTTCATTGACCGCGCTTTCGATTTCATTTGTTCAACCGTGTTTGAATCAATTATTGTAGGAGGGATTGTGGAGCTGCGTGGTAATGCATCGTGTTCATGGTTACCTATCATTGATCTAATCATGGAGGTAAAAGACTTCGTTCCATGATATAATCATACAAATGTATGTATGGGCATTCGACTACAAATCGGGTCAAAATAAAAAAAAACAGGGGAGCCCTCTAAAAAAATGTTAGGATCTGTCGCCCAAACTCAAAACAGCTACTATTTTCTAGAATTTCGGTCTGAAAAATTGCCAAAAAATGTTTTCTTCAAATTCACCGCTCCCGGAACGAAAAGGGACAGGCTGTCATAACAACTGCGTCATTTCCTAACTCAAAAAAACTGAGGGGGAGCTGGCAGACTACTGTTGTTTTCACTGGTTTTGTTCGAACTGGAGTCCGTATGATAGGAAGTTGTCGCTACACTGCTTTGTTTGCTTTCGTCTAAATTCTGTAAACATTTTTTAGTCCCCATCATAATTTGGCCTCCGTCCGTCCGTCAGGATGCATATTTCAGAAACCTGTGGACCAAATCTGTCCATTCTTTGCATGTGCCTAGTACGTTATCTGGAACATATGCAATGCAGTGGTTTACTGAATCAATCCAAGATGACAGAATGGCATATCGTATCTTATCATGTTTTGTCAATTTTTGTTAAAATTTGGCACATACATTATACATGTTAAGATACGTCCATATTGTTCCGCGATCGGATCAAAGATGGTCGAATGTTAGCCATCTTGTTTTTTTTTGGAAATGTTGTATTAGGGACATGGTTTGTCATTTTCATTCAAATTTATTATATACATTGTACATTTTAGATTACATGTCCATGAAAATTTGTTTTTCAATCGGATCAAAGATGGCCGACTGGCACATATTTGGCACATGTATCATACATATAAGAATACATATTACTGTCAGTTTGTTCCATAATCAGATCAAAGATGGCCGACTACCATCCACCTTGTTTTTTGGAAAATGTGGTATCTTGGACAGGATTTTCGTTCAAATTTGATATAAACATTATACACGTTGAGATACACAATGTTCACAATGATTCATTTCGTGTTCGAATCAAACTGGCAGGCATCTTGTTTTTCGAAATCTATCGTTTACATGTTTGTTTTCTCTTCAACATGTTAGGATACAAGTTCATGACAATTAGTTTCACAATCGGATCAAAGATGGTTGAATGCCTGCAATCTTGCTTTTTGACCGTACTACTATATCTTCGTACATGAGCCTAGAGAAATGAAATTCAGTTTAGATACACAAAAATATGAATAGCATATCCTGATTCATTTCTGACCATATATTTCGATTCTCGAAGAGTCATTTATTACATCTAATTTATGTTAATACTAGACCATTATTTTCATACTACGCCTTTGGTCCCATATTACTTTATTTTTGCGACGAATAGCATTTCCCCTAATAGACCATTTTCCGTTCACTGCGAGAATCACGCGTTATGCGTGAAATCGAACGTAAAAACAGGACAAACAAAGGTCATAGCGTCGTAGTCGCGTCAAACATCGCGTGGGATTCGACAAACGCGAAAGTATTTCGGGGACATTTCCATGCTTAATAATGTGCTGTCCACATTTGATGATAGACAATTTCGATTAAGTGAGGGTATTAGGAAGCAATATTCCTCTGTCGAAGATCGGCCGGTCGATGTGAGCTACGAAATATAGAAATTCGAGTTCAAAATCAAATCGTTCGATTTTTGCGGCAGACGTTCGACGCGCGTCTTTCATGCATCTCGCGAGATCTCGCAATTGTACGGAAAATCACCTATTCCAATGGGGACTATGTTATTAACAATGACTTTTGTTTTTCAAAATTGTCATCTTTTTCCATAATTTGGCGAATTAAAATCCGAGACCATCGCCTGATTTTATTAATGTATAGCACAACTGAAACGAAACGTGTCGTCATCATCGCTGAAACGAGCATGCCTCGGTGTCTTCTAGCATCGATGAGTTCGGTACCAGTTGTCAATTGACAATATAGTAGATTAAAATACGAAATTTACTTTTAGTTTTGAATTAACATCGTGAAGCAATCACGATCAATGTAATGTCGGTGTTTTTTGTTCGTATATACATTATATATGAGATAACTTGCAAGTCGTTGACAATTCTATATACCCGATATTCTAGGCATTCGTTAATGTAAATCTTCACGCTGCATTTTCTCATCATCCATTTCAGCTTACACTAACCACGTGACTTATAATGATTGTTTGTTATTTGTAGTCATCTAAAAAACAATTACTTTGTCCTTCAGTGCATATATTTATCTTTTGTACCGGGACTGAGCACCTTGTTCATAGTGTCAACCCCATCCAAACTGCTATGATGAGTGCGTCCTCGTATGTCGTAGAGGGCGTGAAATAACAGGTCCCAGAAAACCAGAAAAGCTAACATTCGACTCCACCAGCCTGAAATACGAAAGTAACCAGTCACACACATTCATAAGGGAGAAATTAAATCACTGGGTGATTTGTTTAACTTTACATACATTGTTCATGTTGGGCCATCGGAATCAGAATGTGTGTCGAAATTCGACACTTTGTGCTCTGGTGAGTGAGTGAATGAATGAATGATCGAATGTAGAATGAATGAATGAATGAATGAATGAATGAATGAATGAATGAATGAATGAATGAATGAATGAGTGAATGAATGAATGAATGAATGAAATTTATTTCATCAGAAACAGTGTATACATTGAGTAGTAAATTATAAATAAATAAATACTAAAATTAATAATAGTAGTAATTACAATGATAATAATATAGTGTATATTTTTTGTTTCTGGTGGGGTCACAGAAATAGCTAAATAGCTTATTCAAACTAGTCTAGTCTGTGATTAATGATCCAAGATATATAATAAAGTAGTGATAAGCTAAGATGCATAAATCATGTTGGGCCATCGGAATCAGAATGTGTGTCGAAATTCGACACTTTGTGCTCTGGTGAGTGAGTGAATGAATGAATGAATGAATGAATGAACGAATGAATGAATGAATGAATGAATGAATGAAATTTATTTCATCAGAAACAGTGTATACATTGAGTAGTAAATTATAAATAAATAAATATTAAAATTAATAATAGTAGTAATTACAATGATAATAATATAGTGTATATTTTTGTTTCTGGTGGGGTCACAGAAATAGCTTATTCAAACTAGTCTAGTCTGTGATTAATGATGCAAGATATATAATAAAGTAGTGATAAGCTAAGATGCATAAGACATAGTTAAAGCATGTAATGAGTACTATAATAGCAATAACAAATTTGGAGTCTGAAAAGTTTTAGATAAATAAAAAAACAAGAAAAAAATCGCATACAGACTGCACATCAACTGTCTCGACATAAATTATGTAAATGTAACACATGCATACATGCACGCATACACAGATACAATAATCATGAAAATTCGAAAAATATTAAATAAATGAAGCAGAAGACCAATACATAAATACATGTACTTATCTGGAAAGTTTAAATACATAAAGCAATGCAGAAACACTCACACACCCTGATAAAATAAAACAACGTAACATACAAATACACATAATACTGATAGGAAAATAAAAATTACATATCTTCTAGAAGATACCTTTTCAAGTGGCATTTGAAAGACTGTCTATTTTGTATACTTTTTATGTGATCGGGAAGTGAGTTCCAGTGTTTAGTGGAAGCGTATTTGAGAGTATGTTGATTTAATATGAGATTGACTTTGTGAGTATAATAGTTGTCGCCTGCAGCATATCTTGTAGGGTAATTATGGGGTAGTGTGTCTAGATATTTGTCAATACTATGGGCATATTGTTTCTTCTATAAGTCAAAAACGAACAAACAGGTGTGTAATATACAGAGCTTATGAATATTTAAAATACCAAGAGATTTGAAGAGAGGAGCGGTATGAGAACAAAAGTCAGAAAATGAGATTAGGCGGACAATTTTCTTTTGTAGAAGCGTAATTGGATTTAATAGCGTTGAATAAGTATTCCCCCAAATCTGTACACAGTAAGTTATGTGTGGTAATATCAAGGAGTTATATAGCAAGAGAAGTAAATATTTAGGAACATAGTGTCAAATTTGTAAAATGATTCCAACTTTGGGGGCAATTATTTATCAATTTGATATGATGATTTGATTTCAAATCATTACAATATTTGGCATGGCTTTTCAATCTTCCAGCTGCTGCGCATGCGTGATATAAATAGAATTGAACAATTAAAAATGATTAAAACAAAAACGTTATCTAATGGTAAGGAAACATTTTATTTTTTCATGAGATAAATGGAAGTCGTTCTCGCGAGACGTCCATTCCGTTCTGTCACGTTCTTGCCTCGTGCATGAATAGTCACTGTTTTGCATATATTGAGAATATATAATTGCGATCTCGACCCAATTTATCATCAGTGGCGGTGAAAAGAGGATTTGTAGGGAGTGACGGTGTAACAGTTTCTGTGAGTCACAATAGCCACTGCCTCATTGTAATTCTTCGCTCGTGCAGATGTCGAAAAGAAACGTACTCTGGAAAAAAACATCGTAATGTCATTTGTTCCTTACTCAGTGTAGTGCGCAGCACAGATGCGCAATGCAATAAAATTCTCACGTGCGTCGATTGTAGTGATCTATCAAAAACCGGGACTAACAACGGCGGTGTTCAGTCGGGAAGTGGTATATTCAACATAATTCATTCTCCTAAACTGCCCTTCAATTTATATTTTAATTCTTCGTGTGGTGTTTATAAAAAAGAAATTATTGGGAATAATTGAGAATGATACATTACTCAGTTTGTACATGAGTGATGATAACGATTATATTATGTACCACGTGAACGCAAGAAGCGGCAATCCAGGAACGGTTCTATGTCACGTGACCACCTAGTTTCAATTACCAAACCGGTACCATGGGACATCATGCATAATTAAAAACGTTTGTTGAGGGTAAGTGATTTCACTATAATAAAATATTCAACAGTTATGAATTAGTGTAATTATCAAAGCTATTAAATATGCTATAGGAACATGATGAATCATGTTATGTTGTTTGTTTGTCTGTTTGTTTTTAATTGAATCTCAGAATTGTTGTCTGAGTATGAATCAATTAGTATTGAAATATAACAGTTTAGACAGTGGGTTGGCCATGTCCATTTGTGCATGCATGTTCTAGTGGTTTCCATGGATACACGTGCTGGTTGCGTCGGCGGTATTGTCTGGGTGTGTGTCATTATTATTTCTATTTAGCCAATCAAAAGACCGCTTACAGAGTTGGGCAGTAATATCGGTCAAGATAAAGCAATGTCACAAATGTAAATGTTAAAGGGCGGTGGTCGTCGCCAACACGTTTGGGAAATTCGTGTAAACAATGTATTTTACATAAGTTGTATACGTCGCTGTGGGTCCCATATCGAACACGACGTGGCGCGACGACCACCATCCTTTAATAATACAGAGCATCGTTCCACTCTGTGCTTCTTCAGACTCTCCAATTATTGGCACATAATTAAAGGAAGATCATTGTCACACAGAGACTCAGGTGGAAAAATAAAACCATGAACTGGTGCACCGACATTCAAATGCAATCGTTGGTGGCGCCCTATATTATGTTCGGCCTATCTTTGAGCCACACAATATAGTAGTTGAGTTGATGGATTTGCAATTTCACGAGTTTGCATGCCACGATGACGTAACAGAACTTCAGATCCGGCCGTAAGCACAAAGAAACAAAACATGATAAAACATCCGGGTTGTTTGTGTGATGATATATTTTATTTTTTCTCCGCGGATAAATTACACCTTTAAGCCTGAGTAGCTCTAAGACACGAAGCAGCTCTAAAACAGGGCGTGTATTTTAATGCAGCTGTATACCTTAATTAATCGTTTTTTGATGAGAAGTCGTAAAAAGTCATTTATTTTACACAGACAAAGGCGCACTCGGGAAATTATAATTATATATTCATGGAATGTTAATGAGTGATTCATCATCTGTTTCACGTGTATGCACCATGCTCAACGATAAGCGCATGTGTACGTGTAGGAACCACAACGAAGCAAAACATGTCGTGGTGTCGCACCTCTAAGGGTACACGGTGTATTTATCGGCATAAGGTAAGAAACAAGTTCGTGAATTAAAATGAGAAATGAGAAGCAGTCGTACCAAGGCGCTGAGTCTCCCCCCCCCCTTCTACTATCATCCCTTATCATACACATTATTTTTAATCACAGTAGAATAATACTTCACTTATTGCGTTTCAGACATTGGTGATGCCTCGCTTACAAATGCAGTTCGTGAAACAAACATACTCCCGTAATTTTTTTAACTTGACGTACCCACGTGATGGGAATGTCAATATACGATGCACTTGAAATACTTCAGTTATGTATCCGTTGCTCGTTTTCCTTCGCCGTCACGTGACCTGTGCACTCATACCATCATCGTCGCCATAACAGTGACTATTGGCACTTGGCCTCCATGTCCGGCGATGCATCGGCACTATGTGAGAAGTTTAAATGTTGTCACAACCCCTCGATGTAACATCGATAGTTAACCGTGTTAGCTATGGATGATTCTCAAATATGTTGAGTACTCTTATTATTATTATTATTATTATTATTATTATTATTATTATTATTATTATTATTATTATTATTATTATTATTATTATTATTATGAGTACTCTTAATATCCGGTTGATAACGAGTCAATGCCGCAATATTCGGAATACACTGACGTACCTGAGACAATAGCGTCAGTGTTGTGACTAAATCCCGACGGACTGCAAACACTGAGCTGTTATCTTTTCAGATAAATCAAGCAATCTTTATATATATAGTTACTGGTTCGTGGCGAAAAGTAAACGAGTGGGCAACTAAGGGTGTCAGCAATTGCCTCGTCAAAATCATCTTACTGTGCATAGTATTGACGCTGAGTCGAAATGAAATGAAATGAAATGAAATACATAGAGGGCGAATCGATTACCGCGACTTTTCGTGATTTCAATTAAACACGTAGTCCGACTTTGCTCGTCGGGGAGAGCCTCGCGTGCATATATTGCTGCGTATTATTTTACAGCAAGCCACTGTTAGTATCGTGCCTGTAATATCCGGCATATTTAAACATTTAGAAGCAGGATTTGTATGAAATAGTCACGTGATTTTTTTCTGATAACATGTTCAATATACTGGTAGTATAAAGGGCGTGCCATGCGAGGTATTCGCGTGTTCGATTCTGATATCACATGAATCCAAATTCCGGTATTTAAATTTAGCATGTTACGACCCAAACCCCTGGTCGATATTGGACGCAGTTAACGCAACCAGCCCTGCTTTCGCGGGAAAAATATATCTGGCCTGCATAGGGGAAGCCGGGTTCAGAACGCTTATATATGTGGGCGGTTACGTTAGTCACTCTTCGATCCGTACGTGTGAAGGCCACATGTCTGATTCAATGTTATGATAATTAAGTAAGGGCTGGACGTTGTAACTCTCTGAGTCAATAGAACAGACGTTGGTATTCTAGAGCGAAGACCAGACCTGGCCGGTAGATTACATTCGAGTCCGTGATTTCGACACCGGACATAATGTACTGGGAATGTTAGACCGATCTGACGTCGTCGGTCATCCTCTCGCTTGTTTATAGGCCTCGCGCCTTGGTGCTATTGCTCGTACAAGGGTTTGCCGGTAAGTAGGGTACACGTGTGAATCAATGGATGCTCTTTGAATAGGACACGGTGAGACGAGAGGTGTTCTTCATAGCCGGTATGTTCTTCAATTCAACGCAAAACTCTGGGTACTGCCCGCGGTATCTTCGATACACAGATACGATGTAATAAATCATCTGTGTATCTCGTGTTCACGACCGTATCTTAATTTAAGGGTCATCCATTTTATTATCGGAGGTGGTGGTTAATCTTCTGTAAAAATTGTATTCACGACAGTTTTTCATTTGATTGTTCATCATCTTTTACATTATTTAACCTTTTTTGTTTGCTCTCAATTTTGGAAAGTGTATGCACACCAAATTAGTATCTAGCTAACCCCTAGTTTTCTACATTGGTAATTCCTCGGCAAATTCAGTTCTCTGTCTTGTTATGTAACAATGGTCCAGACTGTAAATTTAAGGAAAGGGTGCGTTGTAAACTGTATCGTACCGTGGCACAGCTCTAGACAACTTACGATATGTTGCATTGTTTAATTGGTTTCATCGATAAACGTTCGAGGAGGCACATGTATTACATGACTTGCCCCATTTGACTGTAACAATGGTATTTATCATAAACGTAACGTAACAAGTCGCGCGGTTCAATTCAGCTCAATCGAAAATCAGGTTTTGTCGCCTACCGTAGGCTGAAACAGCGCTTCCGCAAATATTACATCTAATTTCCCGTATTTTAGTATTATTTTGATAATTTTGTTGTTATTTTCTATGTTCATTGATATCGAATCAACATGTAAGGTCTACATTATTTACAAACAATAACACAGTTGATAACAGCAGACGACGTGTCAGTGTAATTGGAAATGGATGCTGCCAGCAAATATGTGTAGTCATTATATATTAGAACGATTGCCAACTTGAAGGTCATTACAACCTTTCATATTTTATTTATTTGATCTACATATAATTTTTAATCATAATTAAGTGAAATGTACACGTTTCCTAACGTCCATGGTTGTACAGCATGGTTATTTTATGATTTTGAAAATGATAAATGTGCGACCTTTATAAAACTATATTGGCAACCACCACTTTCAGGACTATTTAATTTATAATGCTAGTACAGTATGCGGCTATATCATGCACGAATGACCCGGTATTCATTGGAGGTCGCTTGTTCCATATGGCTTCAACACCAACTTCCCTTCAGCCTTTGTGTCTGTTATTTGTCAACACTACTGACAATTCCCGTCCACGGGTGATAAATATGCCAAGGGTCTCCCCCAAACACGAATCGCTAAGAGAGTATCCGAGGCTGCAATATTGGAACCGTTCAAACGTGATGGCACAACCTGTTGTTGTAACGGTCATCGCACTTCACTGAGATACACGCTTGGACAATCTGACTAACTTTAGTAGTCGAAAGATGCTTTATTTTCTGTTGTGTGGTGTACACGGTCGCTTCATGCCAGCTTGCACGGTTCGTCTGATTTCAATAGATGTGTACATCTGTGTCTGTTCACCATTCAATGATTAGTTTACTTATTGTGTTTATGTATGGCCATGATATGACTTTACCTTTTATAAACTAGCTCACATTCGTTCGACGGATTACACGTCTAAAATGTCAGTATTATTGACACGACAAACATGGGACAAACATTACTAATTGTAGTTCAATTCTTCTCGTTCTTATAATGGGTCTCCGATTTTGGAATCCCTCTGGCCGCCAGAGTTAAAATAACGCTATATTGTAATGTTGTTTCTATGGAAACAACTTGAGCACGAGGGTCCTTCTTTTGATTATCACTTTACCACTTACATGGCTCTGCAAAGCTAACACACAATGTCGTCTGTCGCCCGCGGCTCATTTGACCCCATCTGGTTTGAACAAAGTCTAACCATAGAGCTAAAAGATTTTTTTTAAACTCCATGGTCTCCTATATAGGAATTAGTTTATTTACCATATTGTTAAGGGGGCACTCGAGCACAAAGCATGTCATTGACATCCGTGGCATGAACCACACCCCGCCGAGAACTCTGCGATCACTTCACCCGTTCTCACACGGAAAAGCGGATAGACAGACGATATCACAAATAAATGTAATCATCTCGGCTAATAATAGTGACTCTAAACTAATCACAGGCAAACAATATCAAAGTACTAGTATTGAAAAGAACGCATACCCTCGTTCCCTGCACTTTTAATTGGGATATACGTTGCTACACTCTTGTGTCTTCTACCGTTGAAAGGAAAATAACTTGTCTATAGCTTGGTTGTAACCTGTACCTTTCAGCGAAAAAGAATGTGCGTATATCTTCGTGTACAACGAATTATAGCAGAATGTACGTAAATGTGTACCCTCGTCCCCTGTACCTTCCATTAGAACATAATGTACGTTTTCCCCGTTCCCTGTACATTTCATTAGAACATATTTACGTTTACCCTCATTCCCTGTACATTTCATTAGAACACAATGTACGTATACCCTCGTTCCCTGTACCTTTCATTACAACATATTTACGTTTACCCTCGTTCCCTGTACCTCTCATTAGAACATATTTACGTTTACCCTCATTCCCTGTGCGTACCATGATCGGAGAATGCTGTATTATCATGTACATTTCAGCCAGTATCATGACTGACATCTATGAGACACTCTTGGTTGAATGATTATACACCAAATCTGCCATACCATCCAGTATTTGACACTGAATGGTCATATCTCAGTCACTTCCTTAGATTATTGCATACTGAAGTGTATTTCATATCTGTCGCCGAAAAGCGTATACTATGTATAATTAGAGACGAATAATGGCCGCCGGAAAAAAATACAGCTGGCAAACATTTTAGAGAATGCGTTCAAAAGGTGGTACACTTTTAACGTTACGGCTTCGGCCTTTACCTGGCACGAATTTAGCCGTATATCTGACCTCGCCCGTACTTAAACTCGCAGTGTCGTCTGTGCGCTGTTTAGAAAAGAATTCCACACACTAATCAATTTCACAACGAGACTCGTCGTACGGTATACATCTTACACAATTAGCAAAACATTAGTAGAGTAACATTAATTCTGTTTCTCCAAGACCCTGACCCTACATTTATAAGGTGAATTGTGTATTAGATTTTTTTGTCAATTATAAAGAGCGATGATGCATTATAAGATAATTGTAATCTCCGCTCACGTGCGTGATATCAGTCCCAAAGGCTGCTGGCTGCAACAACGAATCGTTCAGCCTCGGTCTCGATTCCTCATGAGTAATCGTTCATCACGATAACATCAGTTGTTTTTTTTAAATTCTTGAGTAAATTCATGATGAAATAATATATTACGTCTTTCAAACTGTTTTAGTTACCTTGATTACCTTGTTCTTTTCAGCGTTACAATCCAGTAGACTTAGATTTTTGGCGCCAAAATGTAACACAGACTGGAATGACTGAGCTCTGATCAAATGTATCAGTAATTCTCTGTCACATTGGTTTTTGGTCATGAATTTGAACTAGAGTGCAATAGCTTCAAAATATGCAGTTTCAAAGTAAAAATTGGTTAAAAAGTAGAAAACAATTTCAAATGTGTTCCCACTTGGATTTTCTAGACTGTCTAGATTGGATGACTCACATTATTTGATCATTCGGACAACCTTTACCGACTGAGGTCACAGACTCGTTTTTTGTCGCATCTCGTTCATTTCTCCGTTTTCTCCCAAGTGCAGTTATCATTACTATGTAAAAAAAAATAACGGAAAGAATCTGTTTTGGTTCAAAGTATGATATGTTACACTTTGTGATACATTATGCGGTTACTATAGGAACTACAACGAGTGGCCCTTGGTTTACATGGCAACCATGTGCAAAACAGCAATGTTCATCCTGTGAACTATTAGCCACGAGTTTGAGAATTCCTGACTTACACCTAAATGTAAAACTCCAAAGCATACATGTACATAGCTATATCACTATTTTACTTTTGTCTTTTGCTTATGGGTAATCTCAGACTAGAAGCCTGAGGTATAATTCAACGTGTACCACGTGACATTTAAATTACCATTCTAATACTGAAGCCGGAATAGCTTAGGCGCCAGGTGCTTCATGCACTGTCGTTGGTTCGACTAAAAGCCAGCCAAGTCATACCTTTATTTGGCCATGTTTTTGAACTTCAATCCAACTCCATGCATTTTGGGGAAAGAGAAAAATCCGGGACTCGGCCGCCAATGGTCTTGGACTCCTCGTGTGCCAATTGTCCTGGGACTCGGACGCTAGCGACATTTACATACATTGGCTGGAGAGATGTATAACACGTGGGTGTTCATATACAATAGTAAAATAGTTTGAACGCTCTGTATGGCAGAAGAAGAAACGTCACATAAGATCATCGAATTCATTTTACTCACGGGGTACACACATGTGTGGGTGGTAACAGCTGTCACAATGTAATGTTTCAGTCGAATCGTGTAATCGGCTTAATACTAGTTGATACTTTTGATAGATTTATATAGATATGAAATAATAATGTTTCGATAAAAATCGATTTCGATAAAATCATGATATTTTGTGGTTCTTAATGTACTGTGGTGTTATGATCAATGCGGGTCAAAGTTCACGTTGATATTAACACAAATACTCCAGAAATGTGGTCTTTCAAAAAATTTTCAAATGAAATATCAAATGTACTCAGGACTTTGCAAGGAAAGTTAAAGTATTAATTTTAATTTAAACAAATTGAATAAGTCGTAAGTTTCACAGAAACTGCATATATTGGTGAAATTACAATCCTTAGTTCACGAACTATCACGAGTCAGTAATTCGACCAATCAGTAATATAGTTGCGTGCGCTCACTGTGCTCACTGTCGATGTCGCCGATCCCGAACCGCTGCTACGCTCATCCACTTTCCCATGCTTAATTCTATGTTTTTATTGCTGGTGTTGTTGCAAATATGATAAACGTCGTGCCTATAAGTGGCGCCCTCGGCGACAGAGCGTTTCTGTGACGTAAATTGGATATAATGGACGCTGCTCACAGC